GAGAGAGAGAGAGAGAGAGAGAGAGTCCGGAGACCCGGCGGGCTGAAGCTGGCGAGCTGCGCGCGTGCAGCCAGCACACACACACACGCCATGCCGCGGTGCCGCAGTGCCCCTGTGTTGGAGGTCGAATTTCAGCACGCACGGCAGCGCCATGTCGATTGCGACGCGTGGACAGGCATCCCGCCGGTCAAAGCGAGATGCAGAGAGCAGGTAAACCCCACCTCGCCCCTCTCTCCTCTCTCGCTGTGAGTGAGCTCATTTCCACCTCATGAAGCGCCGACCCGAAGCCCAAGGCGGTGAGATTGTCGTTGCAGTCGCTGCTCCTGCTACCAAACCACCATCCTAGTCTTTTCTCCTTCGATCTCGTCCGCCGCTTCTCCATCCTGCGCATCTCCTCAACTCGCGTCCGCTTGCTTCGCATCCATATAGGCACGCCTCTCAGCATCGCACGCGCACATCACTCGTATCGCTCATCTCACTTTCAGGGCGTCCGTGACGACAACCTCGACCATGTTGAAGCTGTTCACATCGATACTAGTCGCTTCGTCGGCGCTGCTCATCTCGCGCGCGTCCGCTCAGACCACATACGGCATCGGTGTGCCGAACAACGTGACGTCGCTGCAGGGTACATGGAGCACTGGCGCCGGCCACGTCCTGACAGGTCTCAACTTCTACGACCCGGTCAACAACAGCTTCATCTACCCGGCCACGGCGGGCCAGTCGTACAGCTTTACCGACGACGGATACTGGGAGCAGGCGCTGTATCTGTACAACACCAACCCGGCCAAGCCCAACTGCGTGTCGGCGCAGCTCATCTGGCAACACGGCACGTACATCCTCAACTCGAACAACACGCTCACGCTCAACATCTTCAAGGGCGACGGCAGGCAGCAGGTGTCGGACCGATGTGCGGAAAAGTCCAACTACGTTCAGAGCTACGACCAGGTGGAAAACATGAACGGCTTCGTTATCCACCTCGACACCCACTTCAACTCGCCCGCCTACGCGCTTCAGCTGTATCGATTCGACGGCTCGCTTGCGCCGCTCATGTACCAGGTCTTCAACCCGCCACAGATGCTCCCCACCCAGCCTCTGCACGAGGAGATCATCGGCGAACTCAACAGCTCCTAGTCTTCCTGTCTTGTCTTTCTCAGTTGCATTTGGACAGTATCTTTGCATTTTCTATCACCGCTGTGGTGTTGGGTGTGTGAGCTAGGGCAGATTGAAGAGCCATCGCGCATTCGACGTTGCCGCTTCTGCGACCTCTTCTATGGACAGCTGCTTGACGCTTGCAACCGTGGCTGCAACGAGTCCGATTGTGCACGGCTCGTTTCGGCCCTTGACCATGTTCTGTGCGGTCCATTTCTCCTTCTTGACTGCTGCGGGTTGGTATCGAGCATGCAGGTCCGGATGCGACGCTTTGAACGCCTGAATGTGCTTGTGCGAGGCATGGGTCGATCGAGGGTCGCACCACGGTGCATCGGTCTCGAGCATCAACCTCGACAACGGGATGCGCTCCACCACCGCCAGATTGTCATCCGTCTTGAGTGAGCAGCCATTGATACCGATAAACATACCCAAAGCTAGCAGCTCGTCCACCTCGTCGATCGTGCCCGTAAAGCTGTGTACCACGCCCACGCGTTTTGCGCTCGAATCGCTATGCGCTGGTGCGTCTACGCTGAGTGCGGAGTGAATCTCCTCGATGCGTGGACGTAGGATAGCTACGAAGTCAGCATGTGCAGCACGCGAGTGCAGAAACAGTGGCAACTTGACCTCGATGGCCAGTTCGAGCTGCGTCGCAAAGTGTCGTTTCTGCACCTCGGCGGGCGAGAAATGGAGCCGGTCATAGTCCAAACCACACTCGCCCACCGCCACTACCTTGCGCGCATCGCTCCGGATGAGATCTCGAATCTCGCCCAGGTACGCCTCGGCGCCCCGCTCGTACGACTCCATCTCCGAGGTGCGTGTCGGGTGGCATCCTGCCGTCGAGTAGAATGCGTCGGATCGCCGTGCAAGTGCAAGCGCCTCGTGCGATTCGGCCAGATTACCCCCCGTGAGGATCTGCGCCACTACCCCAGCGTGTGCAGCTCGCTCGCACACGACGTCGAGATCGTCTGCGTGCGACTGCTTGCCGTGGTACGAGCCGCGAAAGACCGGATCGGTGAGGTTGACGCCAATGTCGATGAAGCTCGGCGTGGAAGTAGCCATGGTGTGCAGCGGGCGCGCAGATCGCGAGATGGAGCTGTGCTTGAAGGCGACAGGTACGATGCGACCAAGCACAAGCCTTGCTTGATGCATTCGACTTTGATCTAGTAGCAGGAGGTCGTCGGAAGGATGGGAACTGCAGCCAACGCCCTCCACACCAACACTAAGCGGGAGGGCGACTTTTCGTTAGTGTTACGCCAGCTTTCGTCTAACATTTTTGAGCTAATTTTTTCGTCTCGGACGGAAGGGGAAAGTCAGCAGCACCGCCTTTCGTTTTCCACGGAGCGGCCTCTTCGGAATGTCCGGAAGCTGGGCGTGACGAATGGCAGCCGAGTTTGAGCCTCAATGCTGACATTCGGCTCTCGAGCCCTTTGATGCGCGCCGATGGCCAGCATTCACAGCACCACTCGATGTCTGCTTTGGGTAGTCTGTGCCTTTTCATTCCGTGTCGCAACGCGCCGTGAGCGAGACTGACAGGCGGCAGCACCGACAAGAGCCGGACAGCTTGCTTCCAAGAACGTGTAGGCAGCGAAACAAGAAGAAGGAAAGATGCGGACCCCCAAAAAGTGTTGGGAAAAAAAGTGGGCAAATTTACTCTCAATTCTTCTCGAAACGAATCTGTGTGCCGCCGCCGCCGCCTGCTGCTGTTGGAAGGCAACAAGAGTGAAAGCAGCGTCGGCCAGGCCGGCTGAGGAGTGCGTGTGCTCTTCGGCTCAGCCGCTTCTCCACTCTCGGCGAGTTTCAGCGAGGCGTTCGGCGAGGCGTTCGGCGAGGCGGATCTGCTGGGCTTCCCTTGTTCTTCCGGCACTGGCTCCGTGCGCCGCCCGCCCTGAACCCTTTCGGTTGCATCACGCTGCCCACCGCTCTTTCCTCACACCTGCCATCTCCCTCATCAACACCATCACCACCAACACCACGCACACACGCTCTTTGCTCGTCACATAACACCGCCAGCAACCGCCGCCTCTTCCGGGCACACCACACTCTCGCTCATGGCCGCCTCCAGCTCCTCCTCCTATCTCGCCGCCAAGAGCTTGGCCTGGGCGAGCGGCTCTCTGGCCGCGGCGGGCCGCGCACGCCCCTCGATGCGCCCTGCCAACCAGCTCGACGTCCTCCAGATCTTCGTCCCCGGTCTGCGCTCCCCCGCCTCGGGCTTCTCCACCGCCATCACAAAGCACTACCATCAAAGACGCAAGATCGAAGACACACAAGCCCTCGTTCGACGCAGATTCGCTCGCAATCACTCCACAGACTCACAGCAGCGCAGCACTCCTTCCTCCTCCTCCTCTTCACCGTCGCAACACAACCACTCCTACCCTCCCCCTGGCCCATTGTCCAAAGATACAAAGACCACCTCCGAATACCAGGGCCAGTCCGCCGGCGCACCTCCCAAGCCGCCTGCCACCACCATCAGCCCGCTCCCAGCCTCCACCAACACTGCTGCAGAGCTCGGCTCGCCCGCCAACCAGACCGCCGCTTCCCAGTCCTTGATCGCAGAGCAAAAGGCAAAGGAGGCGCGCGAGCTCGAGGCATCCAAGCCAAAGGGACCCCTCACCACCCGCATCTGGGCCAAGGTCAAGGAGGAGGCGCTCCACTACTGGCACGGCTCCAAGCTCCTCGCCAAGGAAGTCAAGATCTCGTCGCGCCTGCTTCGCCGTCTCATGCTCGGATACAGCCTCACCCGTCGCGAGAAGCGTCAGCTGAAGCGCACCTTTGCCGACCTCCTCCGCCTCATTCCCTTTATCCCCTTCATCATCGTTCCCGCAGGCGAGCTCCTCCTGCCCGTCGCCATCAAGATCTTCCCCAACATGCTGCCCAGCACCTTTGAAAGCAAGTTCTCCGTCGAAGAGAAGCGCAGGGGCCTCATCAAGGTGCGCCTCGAAATGGCAAAATTCCTCCAGGAGACCATCAAGGAGGGCGGTCTCCAGGCCACCGACAAGGTCAAGACCTCGGAAGAGTTCAAGGAGTTTTTCCGCAAGGTGCGCTCCACCGGCGAATCGCCCAGCAACCAGGACATCATCAAGGTCGCTCAGCTCTTTGAGGACGACCTCACCCTCGACAACCTCACGCGCCCCCAGCTCGTCAGCGTCTGCCGCTACATGCAGATCAACGCCTTCGGCACCGACAACTACCTGCGCTACCAGATCCGTCACAAGCTCAACCGCATCCGCCAGGACGACATTGTCATCTCACACGAAGGCGCCGACAACATGTCGCAGTCCGAGCTCGTCAGCGCATGCCAGAGCCGCGGCATCCAGACCACCAACCTCTCCGAGGACCGTCTGCGCCAGGAACTCCAGCAGTGGATCGACCTCCACGTGCGCAACAAGATCAGCGGCACCCTCCTCGTGCTCAGCAAGGCCTTCAACTACGTCGCCGCCGGCAACAACGACGTCAACGCACAGTCGCACCTGCGCTCCCTCGAGCTTACGTTGAGTTCGCTGCCGGATAACCTGGTCAACGAGGCCGAGCTCAGCGTCAACTCGGAGCGCGCCACCAACAAGCAGCGTCTCGAGGTGCTCCAGCAGCAGGAGGAGCTCATCGAGGACGAAGCCGAGCAGGAGCAGGAGGAGGCCGCAGCACGCGAGGCTGAAAAGGAGCGTCGCGCCGCCGAAAAGGCGCGCCTGGCCCGCGAAGAGGAGGAGGCGCGCTCGCTGCTGCCCAAGAAGGAGACCGAGACCGAGACCGACCCGGCGCTCGAGGACGCGCGCATGACCAACGAGCAGCTCACCGAGCTCGGCGAGGCGCTCAGCATCCTCTCGGCCAAGTCGTCCGTGCTCAAGGAGCGTGAGGAGCTGGCACAACTCATCAAAGAGGTCAGCAGCTCCGACGCCTGTGCTCCCGACGCCTCGGCCGCCACCGCATCATCGGACGCTGCCGGCGCCGCCCAGGACGGCTCCTCCGCTTCCACCTCGGCGTCGGCGACCGAGACGAGCGGCGAAGCCGCCGCCGCCCCATCGTCGTCATCGTCGTCGTCGTCGCGCAGCATGGCGAAGCGCATCAAGTCGATGCTGGAAAAGATCGACAACCAGCTCGAGGAGTACGACCGCGACGTGGGCTCGCGCATGCACCTCATCGAGGCGTCGCACACGGGCAAGATCTCGGTGGACGACCTCGAGCAGGCGCTGCGCCTCATCAAGCACAAGCCCGACGACGAGGTGATCGAAAAGATCGTCGACAAGCTCGACGTCGACCACGACGGCCTCGTGCCGCTCGACGACGTGCTCGAGCTCGCGCGCGCCGAGACTGGACTGGGCATCCTCCGCGACGAGGGCGTCAAGCAGATCCACGCCCAGGGCCAGCAGATCCGCAACAAGGACGCGCGCAAGCCCAAGAAGAGCGACATTGTCGAGGAGTGAGAGCATCCACATGGCTCGCTCGCTTACTTTCATTCGGCTTCGTTTTTGCACTTGCTCCACCACACACCACTGAACACACACACACATATACACACATGCACGCGCTGCCGATCTCTTGTGCGCGATGGGGGTTTTTGGATTTGGGCGTGCGCAAACATGACCGATTAGAGGGGTTTGATGTCGTGGATGATGACGGCCTCTGTGCTGGTGCCCATCCAGCCTCTATCGCCGGAAGCGGTGAGGAGGAACTTGCATGAGCTGTCTACAAGCACGCTTGAGAGGTTTGCGCCGTGATGGCCGGCGACGATCTTGAAGGGGACTTTGCCTTGGGCCGTGTCGGCGGTATCCCAGAGACGCACGTTGTCGTAGCTGCCGCAGACGATGTGTCTTGAATTGGGCATGGCTGCCAGGGCGTAGACGGGTCCTGAGCCGGAAGGTAGACGGAGGGTGTTGACGAGTTTGGGCGAACGAAGATCCCAATGGTCGACGCACTCGTTTCTGCGACCTACGAAGACGCTCCCACCATCCGAACTGAACACGGCGGATTGACACCATGGCGGCACCTTGGAAGGTAGACCAAGTGAATGTACCCCGCGCGCTTCGCCATCGGTGACGTAGGAGGGACAGCGAAGATCCCATAGAATCGCCTGACCCGAGAGCGATGTGGACAGCATCACCGATGGACTGAACGACGAGATCGGCGCAGAGTAGGACGACGATACGCTGAACCCGCCAAACGCCGGTTGGGGTAGCGTCTTCTTGGGTCCTGCGTCCGGAACAGCCGCCGTGGGCGACGAAACCTTGACGTCTTTTACAGTGCTGGAGGGCAGAGAAAGCGGTACCGACTCCGACTCGGCAACCAATGTGCTTTGGGACGAAGCGTTCTTCACCATGGCCCGACCTGCCAGAGGCATATCCTCATCCGACGACCCATCCGCATCATCGCCATCCTCGTCCGCATCTGCGTCCGCCTCGGCATCCATATCTGCATCCGCATCCGCATCGCCATCCGCATCTTCATCTCCGTCCCCGAAGAGCGAGTCGTCACCATCGCTCTCGTCGCGACCATTTCGTGCCGATTCGCGCGCGTCCTTGGCGGCGCTGACGGGTGGCGTGGAACCGCCGAAGAGATCATCGTCGCCCGCATCGTCGTCCAGATCCTCGTCCGCTCCGGCCACCATCAGCCCGCCGGCAGTCGTACCGTTGGCGCCGAGGGTGACACGGTCCGGACGCGTGCCGTCCGCGCGCGGGCCTCCGCTCCCGTCGAGCGCCATGCCCAGACTCGCATTAAGCTCGGCTTCGAACGCAAGCTCTTCTTCCGTCGGGTCGTCGGCGGCACCACCGCCGAGCGAAGACGAGGGCGCCGAGGGGTCCGGCTCCGTCTTGACGCGCGTCGCTTCAGAGGGCCCGGGGGAGGCGCTCTTTGCTGCAGAATCAGTGGCAGCGGCATCGCTGGCCGGCTCGGGCCGCGTTGTTGGATGAGATGCTTCGGCGCTCTGAGGTGGCGCATCCCCAGCAGACGTGGTGATGTCCTGTGCGGAAGCTTCCGGCGCCGGTGCATCTGCTGTGACTGATTTGGATGCCGCGTCTGCATCCGCCCCTGCATCTCCTTGCTCGCTGTCTGCAGCTGCTTTGGATTGCGCTTCGCCCGGCCTGGACTGCGCTACTTGCTCGTCTGCATCCTGGCCAGTTGGCGCATCGCCTGGCGCCTCTTTGACTTGCTCTGCATGCCGTTGCGCGTCTCCCGCATCGTCTGCGTCCTGCGGCTGCTTCTCTGTGCTGCTGCTCTCGGCCGCGGACGGGTGTATGGACACATTGAGCTGGCGTGGTGACGGTGACCTTGCCGACGCCGGTGCGTGTGGTCGGAACGAGAGCCCCGAGATCTGTCCCGCATGACCGGGGAACGACCGCACGATCTGGCCCGTATTGAGGTCCCACTGATGCACGCCCCTATCCCATCCTCCCGAGATCATTCCCGTCTCGTCCTCTGTAAGGGCTAGGGCAGATACGGCGCCCTTGTGTTTGCGAAAGACGTGCCTCGCGACGCCGGGGTCGTGACGCAGGGTATACAGATGGATGTTCCCCGATTCCGACCCACTGACGCCCCACAGTGCGTCCTGCTGCAGTGCGAGGCTGTGTACGACACCCACGAGCCGGTCCTTTTCGGCCACCGACGCCGAGGGAAATGACGACGATGCGATGCCGTTGGTGGGGGGATGTTCTTCGTGCGGCCAAAACGCCGAGAGGGTTCCGCCGCGCGTGATGCCTTCGACGAAGCCGTGGCGCACGTTCTGCGTGAGCATGGTCTTGCCGTTCATGGTGGCGTGCACGTCGTATCTGCGCACGAAGCCGTCCGAGCCGCCGGTGAGCAGCGTCTGCCCGTCGAGCGACAGCGCCATGGCGTGCACATGGCTC